AGTTTGAATAAGTCGCTGAGCAAAGGTCACTACGAACACAGGAGCTGACATTTGCCTAGTATTTCTCCTCCAAGTCCTTTTTCATTTGCATTAAACCGATGATAAAAAAAAAAAACACTGCATTGTCCTTGGTCAGGCCCGCTCTCCGCCAGTGTAAAGAGCAAGAGGCACGAGATTAAGAGCGACCCCACGCCGTTCGGTTATGAAGGTATAGTCCGTTTTCTGCATGCTAATTGTGATGCTAATGCCATGCTAATGGGGAAGTGTCTTGATGTGTTTTGTTTGTATGCTTTTTCAAACTTTTCTAGACAAGTTTCTAGCCATTTAGTTACTTCTCAATAAGATGTGAGGTTAATGTGTTTATATTTATTCACATGCATGAAGCTGTGTGAGTGTTTATACTAAGCAGTTCGCAGTGTTGGGAAGGTGACTTTTAAAATGTATTCTCCTACAGATTACAGATTACATACCCCAAAATGTAGTTTGTAAAGTAATCCTTTAAATTACTTAAAGTGAGTAACGTAATCTGAATACTTTGGATTACTTGATTTGCTGTAGAGAAGCAAAGACGAGGACGTCGTAACATAAGATGTTTTGTCTGCTAAAAGAAAATAAAAAGACTTTATTTAACTGTATTAAAAATATTACTGATAGAAGATGAGGAAACATGTCCACGCAGCATGATTTAGTCCTGTTAAATCCTGTTTTAGACCTGGTTAGTCCAGTTTTAGTCCAGTTTTAGTCCAGTTTTAGTCCTGGTTTAGGCCTGGTTTTAGACCTGGTTTTAGACCTGGTTTTAGACCTGGTTTTTAGACCTAGAGTTTAGTTTAAGTCCTGGTTTTAGTTTAAATCTAGTTTAGACCTTTTTTTAGTCCTTGTTTAGGCCTTGTTTAGTCCTGGTTTTTTTAGTTTTACCTGGTTTTAGACCTTTTTAGTTTACCTGTTTTAATTTACCTGAATTTTAGATTAATATTTCAGCAAAGTAACTGTAATCCAATTACCACTCACTTAAACAGTAACTGTAACTGAATACAATTACTCATCATTTGTACTCTGATTACATATTTCTGGTACATCTGTTACTCCCCAACACTGGCAGTTAGTATGTTTAGGGAGTGCACGTGTAAATTAGCATTCAGGCTATAACTGGAACTAGCATCTCTCTCTTAATGTTTTCTTGAGCATTGTCTCTACAGGACTGCTTATAAAACCTCAACATTATCATATCATGTGTGATCAAATAAACACAGTTGGCTTTCAGCTATGTAAAAATAGGAATTTGAGAAAAACAAAGGGCTTGCATTATAGCAGGATAAGTCAAAGTTAGAAGGAATGTGCATATGATTCCAGTGGAAAGTGGCTAAAATGAAAAATGAAAATGCCTTGGTGTGTGTTTCTATAGACCTTTTTCACAACAGCCTTTAGGGATGTAACAATTACCAAAATATCGTGAGATCGTACCGTCAAAGTTCTCACAATAATATCGTGGACCATCACAATATATTGAATTACAAGTCTCTTTGCTTAAATTAAGAGTAATGGTGCAGCAACAACAACAAAAAAAAAAAACAAAAAAAAAAAGAGAGAGAGAACTACATAGACCATGATCCTTTGCTCCATTTCGGTGCAGACCACAAGAAGAAGTAACAGTTCTAAGCACTTTTAAGTCTTAGTTCTTTGGATTAAGTCTTGTCAAGGCATTTTAAGAGCAAAAAGTAACATATTAACAGTTTTTGCCCACAAAATATCTCAATAAATATCGTACTTTGAGATGTATATCGTGAGAATATCGTACAGAGAGATTTGGATATTGTTACATCCCTAATCGTGAGCCTCCCTGTGATATCGTTAGCTTTCCCATGATATCGTAATAATATATATAATATTGTAAAGTGAGGTTCATACCGTGACAATATCGCGCTTTTCTATGGTAAAATATCTGTGGAAATGTCTCGCGTACTTTCCACCAGCTTCATAAATCTGCCCCATCATCAAATCTTCATCAAACAAGGTCCACAAAGGTAAGAAAGACGAAAACGTAAAGGTGAACAACTACTCCTGAGCAAAACTAACATAATGGTAACGAATAAAACATAAGTAATAAGTAATTTGTTAATAAGTAACTTGTGAACTCACGCTGATTCCAAAATTAAAATTAAAATCAGTTTCATGATGTAGATTTTGGCATGGACATGTCTAACATTTAAACTGCACAAGTATCTCTGTCTATGCTAATATCTACATCATTAAATTGATTATTCATTTTAATTGTAGAATCAGTCTGAGTTCACAAGTTACTTATGTTTTATTCATGACCATAATGTTAGTTTTGCTCAGGAGAAGTTCACCAAGTAGTTAACCGTGGAGTGTTTTAAGTCTCGTCTTAAGACCCGCTTTTACTCTCTGACTTTTAACACCGCGTGAGTTTTGTGGTCTTCTGTGTCTTTTATTTATTTTTAATGTATTTTATAGACATTATTTATTTTTGCTTTTCTATGATTTTGCTCTTATTTTATCTTGCTGGTTTTATTATTTTAACACTAGTATGATTAAATCTGAGCGTTTATTTTATTATTGTGGACTAATGCGTCGTCGTTGTTCGCCTTTACGTTTTCGTCTTTCTTACCTCAATAGTTGTGGATAAATTACTCATGGTTAGAATATTTCCTCTGTCGACCTTGTTGGATGAAGACTTCGTGATGGTGCAGATTTATGAAGCTGGTGGAAAATACGCAAGACATTTCCACAGATATTTGGTCATAGAAAAGCATTAACGTAAGTGACGTTTACCCTACATTGCTGCACTTCTGGTCGTTGTGAAAAAGGTCTATTAGGAATGAAACCGCATCACATCACATTCTTGAAATCATGATGAAAATATTATAATGAATTTTAATGGTTAAAACGATTACATTATTAAATACAAATGGTAAAAATATTTAGTTTAAGCTCTTTTAGTATTTATTTTGACTTTATATTTAAGTGTTTGGCATGCGATAGTGTGGATATTGTGGTGTTGTAATTTTGCTTTGCTTTATTGTGTTGTGTAGCATGGATTTTTTTTTTTCTTGCATGAAAATATGCTCACGTTGACGCATATTTACAGTGCAGTTGGTGGTTCAATGCTGCTTTTGCCACCTTAATTGGGCAAGACACTTCACCATACATACAAGTAAATTTGTGAATGTCATTGTCAAAAATTATTGTTGGAACGATTGGACTCTTACTTTATTTATTTGTTCATATTATTTTTGATTTTGTGTTGTGGGTTGTGGCATGATTTAAGCATCTTCTTGTCTTGTTGTCTTGTGGATTTTGGGTGTCACTAACGTAAAATAAATAGATGGGTAAACAGGAAGTTGGTTGGATTTGTTCAGACACGCTGCGAGGTGCTATGGCTTCAGTGAGGAAAAGGCAAAGCATCATCAGCGATACAGGGGCCGGAGCTCCGAACACTGTCCCCAGATCTACCTCCCAACCAGGTAATATTCCTCCGAATCGAGTTTTTAAGTGTTGTTTATTTCTTAAGACCCACTTTTATTCTTTGGCTTTTGACACTGTGTGAGTCGTGTCATCCTCTGTCTCTTTTGTTTAATTTTAATGTTTGCTTTATGTATTTTAATGTTTTTTTAAATTGTTTTTATTTGTGATTTACTCGATTTATTGTCTTAATTTGTCTGTGCAACACTTTGGAAACTCTCATGTTCATATAATTTGGATTGGATTTATTACCTGCGCCAAGGAGGTTATGTTTTTGCCGGCGTTTGTCTGTTTGTCTGTTTGTTTGTTTGTTTGTCTGTTAGCAACATAACTCAAAAAGTTATTGACCAATTTTGATGCAATTTTCAGGATTTGTTGGAAATGTGAAAAGGAAGAACTGATTTCATTTTGGGGGTGATCCGGAAGAAATCCTGGATTCTGGATCACTTTGAAATTTTAGTTAACATTGTGGTAAATGGGGCCAAAAATTTTGTTTCTCAATATCTGGATTAATTATTGACCAAACCCCATGAAATTTGACTCAGGGATGGACAATCGGATCCTCTTTCATATTCCAAATTGAAAGATACGAGACAAATATTTATGGAAAACACAATTAATATGAGGGGGACTGTCCTTGGCGGAGGTCTGCGCTCTCTGAGTGCTTTTCTAGTTTATTATCATTTTGTGTGCTGTAAAACACAAAACCCAGTCAAACTCAGTCTTTTACAAGCTCATTTTTAAAAGATGTTTCATAATTATCTTAATAGAACAACATTGTGTAACTTTCTGAAAGTGGTGCTTCACCTTCACGATTCCATGGAAACAGAAAGTTAGAGATAGTTGAGAGTTTTATACCATATTATAGAAAGTTATAGCCAAAGGAAACAGGTGCAGGCCCTCCTCCAGGCCAACTAAGAGTTAGGTTTGTGGAGATTCAAGCCCACTCACTCACAGTAAGGATGCATATTCTTCCGTGTTTTTTAAAGCAAGAAAAAAAGTGTAGTCTCTTTTTTTGGGGTTAGAAAGTTACATGGTGGGGCAAACATTTCTATAGTATTTGCACAAATTTAATCAATCACAAGTTTAATCAACCTCAAGAAAGCACAATAATTGGGCAAAGTGACCCTTAAAGTTTTCATAAATTGCAAGAGATCTGCATAAGTAACAACATCATCTAAAATATCTTGGTTTTTTTTGCTTAGTGACGTTTGTACCATTTTGGATCAATTGGACTTTTTAAATCTTCACATATTTGATTGGAACACTTATGGCAAATGCTAAACGGTTACATTTTTATGCAACGCTTTTCTACCTTCAAGGCTCTCAAAGCTCTTTACATCAAGGAGCCACTCACCCATTCACACACTAATGTACACAGACACTAGGTGGCTTAAGTGTCTCGCCCAAGGACACAACTACAGCCTTCTGATCCGTGCACAAACGCTCTCACCGACTGAGCTACTGTCGTCTCTTGTGAAATCCGACTAAATGTTCCCATATTCGCTGTGTGTCTCCAGGTTGGACACAGCGTCGTCTTCCCTCCATGGACACCGAGGACTTTGAGACCATCCCGTCCAGCGCAGAGGAATCGTCCAACTCTTCAGAGGAGGAGGGCAGCAACAAGAACGTGAGGCCATAGATCATACCGTACCACTTGTGCATTATTCAGGGATTGGTTTTGGAATTTCTCTTTTTACAATTATAGGTGGGCGTTGACAAAATCTATAATATAAATATTCCTTTTTTGACTATCGAATACAATAATAAGCTCTGTGATAAATATGCTAAAATGTGACTCTTGGTTGAGATCAGATGATGCCATAAAAACTGAATTGACGCTAAAACTAAACACATAATTTTTCTGATCTCTTTTTGACAGTGTTCTCATTACATACATTATTGATACTTTGAAGCTGATGTTATCAATATTCCCTGGGATTGTAAAGCTAACTGAAGGCACTGCTCTGTTCGAAGCTCTGTTACTCAAGTTGGACTTCGGGCTTGTTTACACGAGAATGCTTGCGGGTACAAACAACAAAATATTTTATTTGTAATATAATATATAACTATTTGCCTTTCATTTAGACAATGACAGCGTTTTGGGGCCTCAAAAACGCAAAAAACAAAAACCACCCTCCAGAGTGGAAAAGTTGAATACGCTCCGCCGTAGCATTTCCGTCTACACTGCCCAAGACGCAAAACTCTGGTCAGATCTGCTCACGTCACATACATACAGTAAACAAAGCAAATATGTTGGATCATTTCCATGCTCTGGCAGCTCTAATAAACTTACAACAAATGTACAGAATATGGAGAGCTACTATTAGTGAACACTTTTGCGTCACTGTGTGCACGCAGATTTACTCCTGAAAACATCTAAACGCGGAATAAAAAGTGAAGATGCGACGCCACTTTGCATCTTCTGTTCAGACCGTCCTCATATAAACATAGCCTTAATCTGATCTTTTATTTTAACATGATCTGACCAAAAAGAGCTGAATTGGTTGTTGATTTGTCAAGTCTCTCGCACATAAAATTACAATCACAAACTATCTAACATTAACAGTTTTTCAGTTTGTCACTCTCCCCTTTTTGAAAATCAAACACCTAAACAGGACCATGAACCCAGGTATTTGTACAGACGAAATCTCTTTTATGAAGACAATGCAGTTTAAATAATGTTAAAAACAATAGGTGTAACATTGCAACATTACTTGAAAGTATTGCACATGGTGAAGGTGTATACGCTTTAAAAACACAGAGGACCTACTGTGTAAAAATGCTGGTAGGAATCATGCAAAACTGATAGAAAACGCAATTCCAGATATGTTAAAAGATAGAGCTTTTTTACAATTGCAAATTAGTGGCAAAAGTGTACAATTCTTTCACATTTTAATAGCTTTCCACAATCAATATTCCTAAAACAAAATAAAACAAAACACTTATTTCTTGCTCCGCTGCTTTGTATTCAAGTTCAATTCTTTCCACTGAGTACTGCAGTAACAGAACTCCACCCCCCCGTCCTACATAAAACTCCACTTCACACCTATAGTTAATGGCGTATATGATATTAATACATTCATTACTGACATTCGGGAAGTTCACATTGTCATAGTTAGAAATGCAATCCGACCTGACCCGTTCCACTGGAGTTAGCTCGGCCCATTAATCATCACATCCCCGCATCAGTCAGTGTCCGGAGGCTCCATGTGTCTACGCACGTCCACTCGCTCCCACTGTCCCTCAACGGCGCCCCCTACCCCACGGACGAGCCCTCTGCCGGTTAATTACTTCCCACGGACGCACATCTCATTAGCGGCCCCGCACTGACGACTTGACATTTAAGAAGCGAGGGATGAGAGAGGAGATGAGGGGAGAAACAGAGGAGAAGGAGAAGAAGGAGGAGGGGGGGGTGTTTCTACAGCTATTAAGATACGTGTCATGTAGCGGCCACTGGATCGCGAGAGGACGGCGTATCAAAGTCCTTTTGTGTATTCTGCGTCGGAGATTTTAATTGTTAGTGTTGGGGGCATATGCGGTTGGTGCGATGTCAGAAACAAAACAAGATGTTAAGGGACAGTTTTGCTTGGTCATGGACAGCGTGTATAATGGCAGGGAGGTGGGAATAGCCTCGTAAGAAATGCTTGAAATTAATGTGGATCGAGACTAGAGCATTGTCTAAAGTCATAAATTGTAAAACACAGTGTAGCTAAGAGCCGTGCATATTTTTATACTTTCAGCCCCAGGTACTGATGTCTTAATACTACGATTTTTAACTGATTACTATATTAAAATAAAGCTTAAATACTGATTTTGAAGTCACAGTGATTGTAAAAAAAAAACACACACACACATTTTTATAACATGTATTAGACCAAGTGTATCCAAACTGCTGAACTGACCTAAATGATCATAAGTTTTCACTGCAAACTGATGCAAATTTTCATAAATCTACCTCTATAAACTCATTGATATCACAATTCATTTTGACACACTCCTAAAATGGATGTCCCAAGCTTTACTAAAGATACAGTATTAAATTTCCTCTGGTGGGACAATAAAGTTTATTTTATCTTATCTTATAATAACTATAATAACTATAATAACTCACTGTACTGACCATCTGTCTTTGGCCCTTAGTGAAAAAGGTTTGGACATCCCCATATTAGATTTATATAAGGAAGATTATAGATTATAGAAGATTATTTTCAACACAGATGATGAGATTTTATAATATTGTGGTCACACCGGTTTGTCAAAGCCTGATCCCGTCAGAGTTCAGAAGTTAAGCAGGGCTGGGCCTCTAGGTGCCACTGGTGTCCATAAAAAAAAAATAAAAAAAATTGTTGTGTCTTTAGCAGAGGTGGGGACTTGCAAGTCGTGACTTAGACTTGAGTCACTTTTTTTAGGTCTTGAGACTTGACTTAATAAAAAGGACTAAGACTTGAGACTCGACTTGGACTTGAAGGTCAATGATTTGGCACTTGACTCAGACTTGAGGCCAGTGACTTGAAAAGACTTGAGAAGCAACTAAGCCCTAATGAAGACCAGGTTGATCGAAACATGTTGGCTTTGGCCATTTAAATAAAGGCCTTTTAAGTATATTTTCCTTGTGCGATTTTTACTTCTTTGGAGTGCCTGGAGTTCGTTGTTTTTAGCCTTGAGAAGCACTTTTAAATCTGAATTCTTTCTATTTATAAAGGCCATAATGATTCACACCAAGCTCTTGTTGAGACATTTAAAAAGGAAACGTTAACTAAATTAAATTCTACAACTCTTATATACTCTATAAATACTCATATATAAATATACAATGATTTTTTAAGTACAGTTTAGTTTAAAAGTCATATAAATTGCAAAAATCTAAGTATGTTGGTTTAAAGACTTGAAATGACTTGAAGCTCAAAGCAGACGACTTGGACTTGACTTGGACTTATGAGCCAGTGACTCGAGCCTTGACTTGGACTTGCCTGTATTTGACTTGGGACTTGACTCATACTTGAGATCAAAGACTTGAGACTTACAAGAGTCCCACTTGTCCAAAGACACTTCAACCACATAGCCTTGCTGTGGAGTGAATGAACACTGCTCTGTAAAACACATTTTTAATTTATTCATGTGTTTATTGAAACCTACTCAACCAAGTATCTAGTTTCGATTCTAGATTTATTATCAAATATTATAAACATATTGATTTTTGACAGCCCTATCGCTTAAGTATCGTACCAGCACTATATATAATTAGTGTGGGGAGTGAATAAATAAGATCCCACGATAATGTTTTTAAGCACTTTGTCAAGCTTGTAATTATTATGATTATCTTGAGATCCGTCTCCATATTTTAATTCCTGACACAAGCACTTAACTTAATAAAAGAACAAATCTTTACTTTATTATGATTAATTTTACATTTTTAGTGTGTTGATTAGACTAAAATGTAGAAGTAATGGCTTTTAATTGGTTGGTGAATCCTCTCGTTTAGTTTTGTGATATTCAGTTGTGGCTGTGAACTGCCAATTGAAATTTGTACACAAGATACAATTTAGATTCGACTAGATTAGATTAGAAATACGGCTCACGGCCTGGCTCCACCTCGCCTGGCGCTCCCTGTTTGTTTTATCGCTTGTGCCTTCCGTATTTGCATGTCCTGTGTGGTACCTGCCTCCTGATTGGTGGGTTTGGTCTGGCTCCGATGTTCGTCGTGCCTGGTTGGAGGATTGACGTCCCGCTCCTCCAATCCCCTTCCTACACGTCCAGTTTCAGTTCGCCCCTCTCATTGATAGACGTTTCTCTGGTTGACTTGTGAATTGTGACTCTAGAGGTCGTTAGAGTAACAGTTCACTCTAACCTCTAACACTTATCCAATTAGAGGTATTGTTTAGTTACATTTGGAAAGTTTGATTTATTTTATGAAAAACATCTCTTTTTCTGTTATTATACTTACTTACGTTTACTATATAAAAGCCACTTACGTATATTATATCACATCTTGTTTGCGTTACTTTCCTTTGTCCCTAGCACTGGTTTGTAACATACTTATTATCCTGAAGGAAATTCATTAACTCACTTTAATCAAGAACTCACTTTATGCATGATAAGGTTGCTACTAACAGGGGCATCAGACTGGGGGGGTGAAGGGGGCTGTTTACTCACAAAGGCCCCTCACAAAGCCTGTAATGTGCATCTTTCATTAGACAGTATTTAGTGCAGGCCCACCAAGACGATTAGAACCCAGGGCCCAGAATTTGGCGCTACACCCCGGGCTACGAGTTATTATTTTGTCTGCTTGAGAAAGGGTTTGCTTAAATTTGATAAATGTTGGCTTTATGTCAGATTCTGTGTCATACTGATATATGATCCATTGTGTGTCCACGCCACAGGGGGACAGCAGCCGTTACCGCGTCCAGCTGACCTACGAGTCCCGTGACCCCCGCGACCTCTCTCTGGACTCCGGGGAGATGGTGCAGTTTCTGGAGGAGGCGGAAAACGGACAGTGGTCAGTTACATTTTACATTTTATCCGTCCCCTTTCATCACGGTTTCACTTTAGTTTTTTTTGCCATCTTCCTGATTAAACCAAAACTGATTCATCTACAGATTTTATTATTGTAAATTTACCCATTTTGTGCTTTTTTTTCTATTTAAAGATTTGTTTTCCAATCTCTTCCCAGCATATTACAGTTATATTTCATCATAGCTTCACGCAGGTCAACAGAATGAGTGGTTACTTATACTAATCTATCATTAAAGCTGCACAGCGAAACTTTTCTGGTGAAGAGTGCCACCTACTGGTCTCCATGAAGATGTGATTCCTTTGCCTGAAACGTTCCACAGTACGGCATTAAACCAATCTATCTGATCTCTAACTCAGTTGATCTGACCTGTAGCTTGGGCCAGTGGTATTATACGTTTGTCTCCATGGAGGTAAATTTAATGCCATACTGTGAAACATTATTACATCTCAAGCAAATATTATAGAGTCGAATCCACTTCCCTCTTTATCCTGGTTGCTCGTCTTGTCCTTATGTCTGTGCTGTGTTTTTGTTGTATATGCTGATGTTGTGGAGCGTTTCTTTTTTTTCTTTATGTACTGGTTCCAGATAGTTAGTATAGTTTCCAGATTCCAGATAAATAGTTGTAAAAAAAATAAAAATAAAATAAAAGTAGTTATGTCACAGATAGTAATTTCAAGACCCATCTGTTTATCTTAACTTTGTGGGAGGGGGTTTGTGGGAATTGTTTTTAATCACTGTAAAGAGCTTTGTGTTTTTTTTGTATGAATTTTTTTGTATGAAAAACGCTCTATAAATAGTTTGACTGATTGATTGATTGATTGAAAATGCCACAAACCAGAAGAGTTACATTGTGCAGCTTTAACAGCACTTCTTAAACACTAGATATTTTTCTCATTCTCAGTTTTGTAATCCTAGTAAGCACTATTTTATGTTCCTAATATTGTACGAACATAAAGTAAATTCTGTATTATATTGAAAAGACAACAATGTGGCTGTGTGCTGCAGGTGTTCCAATCAGTGGGAGCAGGTAGAGGGCGCTCTTGGAAAAAGGATCAAAACTTAAAACACAGCGGACTCCAGGCACTCCAAAGAAGTAAAAATCACACGAAGAAAAACATAGTTAAAAGGCCTTTATTTAGATGGGCAAAGCCAACATGTTTAGGGTGACCAAATGTCCGTTTTTCCCCGGACATGTCAGTTTTTTGCATCCTGTCCTGGGCGTCCAGGTTTTTTTTTTCTTAAAGTGATGTAAATGTCCGGGTTTTCATGATCTTTCATTGGGGCCATTAAATTGAGCGGCTCTCGTAGCTCTCTGTACACTCAGAAGAAGCGAGAAGACACAAACAGTCGGTCAGTCTGCAACATGCCGAAGCACAAATGCACATTTAACAATGACTTGCACAAGAAATTCCCCGTTTTCCATCCCGGTCGGAACAAGTGGGAAGCCATGTGCACAGTTTGCGAGGTGAGAGTAGCCCCGGTCACCCTAATATGGTCATCCTAAACATGTTTCAGCCAAACTGGTCTTCATCAGGCCTCCGTTAAAAACAGGACATGGGCATTTCCTGTTTTTAACTGAGCCCTGATGAAAGCCTTTTAACTATTTTTCCTTGTGCGAGTTTTACTTCTTTGGATTGCCTGGAGTCCGCTGTGTTTTAAGTTATATATTATATTACCTTAAAATACAGAAATTAAAGGGCCCATATTATGCTATTTTGTTGTATCCTCATTGCAAACATACAATATCTGGAGTTGTGTTTTGTTTCATTCACACATGTTTAACACGCAAAACCTGCATATTTAAGCTGTGTTCTTCTCTCAAACGGAAAACACTCTGTTCCACTTTGTGATGTCATGTGGTAAAACAGGACGTGCCCCACTGCTGTGTTTTTAAACTCCGTACATCTTCACTCGAATCATTTGGATGATTTCAGCCCTGGAAATGCCAATCTCTACTGAAGTAAAGGTAAAAGGTACCGCTTCATGACATCACAAGGTGGAACAGAGCATTTTGAGGTTTGGAGATGTAGACAGACTAATAATTCAGGATTATTCAAACATGTGAAAGAAACAAAACACAACTCCAGGTACATGTTTGTGATGAGGTAACAACTTAATAACATGATTTAAAGCTCACAGGAGTCAGTTTTGCGTAATATAGGACCTTTAATATAAAAATGAGCAAAAGCACGAAACAATAAACAGACCTGCTTGTATCCCAATTGTACGGTGTCCAGCAGGGTCAAAAACAGACTTGAAAGCAGCGCCCAATGAAAGCACGTCATTTCAATGCCATTGGAACCGATACTCTTCCACACACAGGAGCCTTTTAGTTCAATTGTTTAGGACCAAATAAAGCAGTCCTCTGTATTCATAAACAACATCAAACGCCACATCTCTCTCTTTTTCTTTCTCTCTTTGACCAGGAACGGAAATACGAACTCCGCGATCGCTTTCCCCCCGAGATTAAAGCCCCAAATTTGAATTAAAATTTAATCCACGCCGCCAATACAAAACGTGTAGTAATAGACCGTTCTCGAATCCTGGTCAGCGCTTTGAAAATACGCTCTTTAGATGAATAATGAAAAGCTTTGAATGAATTTTACGCCACACATCGAATCATTTAAAAAAAATTTCTGGAAAATATAAGGCGGAATACAATGTTTTCTGAGATCGCCGAATTTCGGGAGTTGCTAATGCCGTCTCGGATAAAAGCGCTTTGAATATTCTCATTTTTCATCTGCTCATGCATTTTTCAAAGCTAAAAAAAACATCTCCTGTCTCGAGCTTCTATCATTTTTTTTTTTTTCTGCTAAAAGGCCTATCTCCCTCTACGCTTGAACAAAATGAAGAATTTATAAACCCCCGTCGCTTTTTTGTCGGATCAAAGTTATCTCGCAACTTTTGGAACTTTCTGGAACGGACGGTGAAGGTGGCAGTGTCATTTTGGGCATGGCTAAATCGATTTGAAGCTTGGTTTGGTTCTGTATTGATGTATTTGGAGACTTTTTTTGGGAACAGCTGCCAGGACAAGAAAAGAATTCAAACATATGAGCACGATGAAAATGGCCCAATACCAATTTTGATTCAACATTGCAACAATAATAATCATTTTGGGTATATCCAAATTGATTTTCCACTTGGTTTGGCTCTGTATGGATGTATTTACAAGTCTTTTTTCTTTTTTTTCCAAGAGTTCTTTTCATCAGGACCAGAAAAAAAAGTCTAACTCAATTACAATACTATGAAAAGAGCTCAACGGTGATATTAATACCGTGATTATTATTTAAAAAGTCAACATTTTTAATAATAATGATAAAGCATTAGTCTTATATAGCAACAATAAAGCACACAACAATGTATTTCTATAATATTAAAGAGTCTGTACCAGATTTTTTTCTTTCTTAAAACTACTTTGTAGGGGTGGGACGAGATGCAATTACCCATAATACGAGACAAGACATGAGATTGGATGTACGAGAACGAAACAAGACGAGATTTTGACATTCTTTATAATAAATAAAATGCGTAATCCAGTTCCTTCACCATTTTTGTTTTACTTTATTTAATATTTTTGCTGACATTGTAGCACTGCTTCTCAAAAAATGTACCTCACCAGTACTTGATTCATTTTTTTTAATATCCAATCCAAATGTAAAAACATGGGAAAAAACTCTCACAAGATAATTTTTCTCTTGTGTGCACAATCTCATGGCAACTTTGTCTCGTGAGATCTTGTGGCACAAGGTCTTGTCCCATCCCGACTAATTTGTGGTCCAAAATTATTCCTCAGTTAACTTATGCTTTCCGAGCATCTTCACTCTTCACTGCAGTGAGTTTACAAGCGCTTTTCACAACTTTCAGAGGCCAGAGCAGAGTTTTGCCTTCACTGTCACTGCACACTTCCTGATTATCAGACAATAAAATGTGTCATATTTAGATGCAGGCAGAAAACAGCGGTCTTATTTTAACCCTCAAGAGCTGCTTATACAATATATCTGTACTGGGGCAAGACACATTTTGCTCTAATACGTGAAAAAGAATGAGATACAGGCCCTTTAACATATGGTCATGCTATTTCAATAGATCAAGACCATGTTGTATAGAAATTTTCCGGAAAATGACACATTTCTCCTCCATAATTTACGCAGTATTGATACCTGTTTATTTAGTTTTAATACTAGTTTTATTATCACTTTCTATTTTTGTCGCTAAAATGTCTAGCCTCTCTTGTCAGACAAATCCAGAATATCTCTCTGTATTATGATTTTTTTTAATCAGCTTGATATCAGTCTGGTTCCCACGCTCTACTCCAGACATGTCAAACTCACGCCCGGGGACTAAATTTGGCGCACGATATAATTATATTTGGCCCATGAGATCATATCAAATATGTATTAGAGCTGGACCGCTGACTACAGATAGACTATAGAGACATTATTTATTTAAATTTTGTTATTATTTTATATTATGCTTGTTCTGGATTCAATGTTTAAGCAAAACTATTATTAAACATTTGTTTATTAAGAAAAGGTTTAACATTACATATCTCGAAAGAAGAGAAAACATGCAGATGATGTTGAAATTTTTCAATAAATATTTAGTTTGGCCCACGACTTAGTCCCAGTTTTTAATTTTGGCCCTCTGTGAATTGGAGTTTGACACGCCTGCTCTACACTCAAACCAAGCATTATCGTCCAATCAGTTTGTTTTTTTGTTTTTTTTTCAGTGATACATGCAATAGTAAGTTGGTCATCTGTCATTTACACACAAAATGACATTTCTCTCACCTCAGATTAGCAGAGTTCAGTGCTTCACTCATTGATTCTGCATAAATCTGTGATGTTTTTTCTTTTTCTTCCTCGTAAGCAGCCATATTTCTTTTGATACAGTCGGACCATGAGTGTCTCTGATTGGCTAATCCACCTGTCAATCACAGCCATCTGAAAAGTTGGGAGATTCACCGATGACCAGACTCTCAT